TAACAGTTGGTGCAGTTACAGAAGCAATTGGACTATAAATCGAAATTGTGAATTTTTGTTGTTAGTTCATCACCCAACTATGTCCGTGATAATTTATCTTACTTCATCTGGATACTTGCAAGAACGGTACGCTCAAAAGAATATATCACCAAGGATACAACTGTATTCTAAAACCAAAAATCAATTTTCGCACAAAAATAAAGCATGACGCTTTTCCTTTGTAACCTGGTTATAAGTGAAAATCAGAAGTTAGTTCGCAGATCATAATTGTACCTATCCTCAAAGATTCTCTTGGATTGGAGGTCTATCGTTTTGAAGTAACCTGTAAAAACCTGAACTTAGGGCATTATCTCGTGCTTAGTGTAGCAGTCTTATTTCCGACATAACTTTACCCAGTTTATCAGGTTACTTGCGAGCGGTTTAAAACATTATGTCGGAAAACTTTCACGATAGAGGTTATTTAATGGCAGTTTTTCGAAGTAGAAAAGTTCTCTGATTTTTTTCATATTTTTTTTTTTTTACCAAGACTTTCAGTTGTGCAAATCAGGCTTTGAAAATCCAATCTTCAGATTCCATTCTACAGTAAAGCCTTTTTTGGCAAGTATAAAAAGTCCTGAAAGTGTAATCTAAAAAATTAAAAATGCCATTTTGCGTATTGAAGCGGTTTTTTCCTCGGTTTGATAACTTAATTTCAATCTGTACTGCCGTTGCAGTCGATGCAAAAAACTAGTAAAAAGGTGACTATCAGCTGTAATTTCGTCTTCAGTGCATGATATTCACAATGCTCTTTTGCGCCAAAGTTCCCAGTTTTTAAAGTAGATTTTTCTTCAGCACTGGTGTGTTCAATGCAAAAAAACTTTGACAGCACATATACTTGTACAAATATCTCCTGATCGCCTTCGACTCTAGTTAAAGCACGGCTAGTCTGCCGTGCTAAGGGAAAACGCCGTATGAACCTTCAGGCGCTGCCAAATTTCCTCTAGTAAATCATGCAGTCTCGGGAAAATTTGTAAATATTTTCCTTCCACTTTTTCATATAATTTTATTCGGAATTACACCTAAAGTCTCTGAAAATTTCGAGGAAAAATATTCATAGCTTTCCTCAAACATAAACATTTCATCGAAGGAAATTTGGCAACTCTCGAATGTTCATACGGCGTTTTTCCTTAGCACGGCAGTAGTGATTTCCTACCAGTTAGTGGTTAAATCAGCTTTGAAGGTTTCGGTATTTTGAGAGCTATTTGGATATAAATATGGAACTTTAATATATCCATCCATTTTTGGCACATTTTCCTTGTAAATTCTTCGTAATTTTGATGGATTATTAGTTTGGCAACCCTGTTTTTGCTAAAAATGTATGTAGTGAGACGACCGCGACGACTGGTAGACGGTGACGGTTTTTTTACTGATTATATAACCAAGATTTTGGTGAGCCATGCGAGAACGAACTTAGCAACGCCGCCGTTAAAAATAACTATTTCTGTTTTATTAGCATTCAAGTATTCAGAGAAGTTGCTAAATCGGCGGCCGTCTGCACCTCTTTGAGTGGCCATCGCCAGGTGAAATCCGCTCATTTCGGGTTTCGAGCCACCCAAGCCACTCTCTGCCAGCGTTGCCATTTTTATCGATATAAAACTCCACCCTTCTGTGCGGTTGCATGTGGAAATAAGGCCAATTTTAAGTCGAGTTGGCTGCGACACACGATGTCATTACCGATTTCGGTCTTGGCTCCAAAGTTCAGCTTTGCATTTTGTCCTTCTCGTGTGCAGCCTCTGCAAGGCATTTATTTTCAGGTAGAGGTTGCTTTGCTCCATTAAAATTTCATTTTCAAAGGAACGAAAAAATCAATACTTTTAAAAAAAATCGAAAAAAAGGAAAAAAACCAAAGAGAGGGTAAGTGATTGGAGAGAAACTGCGAGCTTTCATCTAACATTTGCCTCCATGTAAGGGGAAAAAATCAAGGATAAACTTCAGTGCCTAAAAAAATTCAAACCCTCTAGACACCATAGTTCAAAATAACAGAGACATCACCAGCTTCGGTACCTACGATGAAACTAGGTACACAGAGAGGAATTTCAACACAACAGTTTGGTTAATACGGAAGGTATAACACAAAATAACCCTAGCCTTCGGTTGTCAATTTCAAGAGAAAATGCCAACTAGTTTTCTTGAGGAAATTTAATAAAAAACGAGTGGTGAATACCACTGTGGCAATCGGAGGAATGCATTTTCCCAGTCTCTCAATCGTTTTCTGAACTAAACTCACCGTAAACTATACGAAAATCCAAACAAAATGTGTGTTGGTTTGTGTTTCACTTCCTATATTAACAAAAAAAACAGAAGAACACAAATATTTTTATCAGTGTACCGGAAACACAGTAACATTAAAAAACGAGTGGTGAATACCAACGCCGCAATCGGAGGAATACATTCTCCCAGTCTCTCAATCGTTTTCCGCTATAAATTTACCGCAAACTGTACGAAAATCAAAACAAAATTTGTGTTGGTTTGTGTTTCACTTCCTATATCAACACAAAAAAATCATAACACACGTAAAATGAAAAAAAAACGGCCATGTCACCGGGGATTCCGATAATCGGTAACGATCAGAAAAATAATTTTACCGGATTTTTTTCACTGAGTGTTTCCGTTCCGTATGATGACGATTTTAAATCAGAGCAAGTGACTTTTTATTTCCGCGGTAATTGAATGGCATCGGGTCTTTTCCGATCCCGTCCGTTTATTCCGCTCACGTCAGACGGCTCCGGCGGGTTGCCACTTGGTCGTCGACGAACACGACGTCCGAAGCCTCCGGAGACCCCCACCAGTGGCGTGGCGTGCTTTCCGATATATCGATTGTAATGCCATTTAAACCTATAGAAAAGGATCGATAAACAGGGTGTTCGCAGCGAACAGTTAATAGTCGATTCTTTACCATAGGTTTAAATGGCATAACAATCGATGTATCGCAATTCACACCACGCCACTGCCACACATCCTCATTCGATCACGATCCAGGTGTGAGAACGTTACTCCGGTCGCTTCGGAACAGCGCTCGAGTCGCATTGATTCAATCTTCGCAACACGTACATCCGTGTTGTCGGTCGTTTGATGAACGACGACGAGGCCCCGAAATGAAAAATGACGTAGGTGCCTATACTTTAAAATGGACCATCCGTCGTTTTTAGGAATGAGGCTCAAATGCTGATCGTTAAAATTCAGTGGAAAAAAGTATTTTGGATCTAGAGTCGAGCGGAATGATTATTGAAATCGATAGACAAAGCTATAGACGAAGAAGACAAAAGGAATATGGAGGGATCCTATTGGTGGAAGTGGATGGTTGCAATAGACGAGGGAGGTGAGTAATGAACTCACTAACGGCAACTGGCAAGAGATCTTATAGTTAGTCCATCATTTCCCCCCTTAGTCTAAAAGAAACATCCACTGGACTCTGGATCCAAGATACTTTTTTCTCCGCAGTGTTAGAGTAGTAAATCCATTAGAGCACCGGAAAAAAGGATTCCAGAGCCAAACCCCTCAATGTAAACGGAGTTCCTTTTCATTTCAGCGAACCCGATTGAATCAAGAGCATTTTCTCTTATAAAATTTTCCAAGGGTCTGGATTCTGAATGCAGGAGACTTTCTTTCCAGTGTTTACTTGTGGATGTATTTCTGGAGTTCGTGGAGGTTCTGTAGCCCTGAAAAAAGCCCTTACCATCCCGGTTTTAGACTCGCAAAACAGATGTCTTTTGTGTGGTTCTGAAATAACTTACGAGCGAGATTTTACGTCCACTGTAGAATTTATGGAAGCGATCCCTGATGCCCTCAGCATCAGTATGTTCACTGCTCCTCCGAGCAATTTGTCCATGACGCATTGATGCACTGTCCATCCGCAGATTCGCAATTCCTCCATGCAAAGTGCCGCGTTGTCAGCGCAGCGATGCATTCTTTTCAGATAAATTACCTCCTCTGTCGGTTCCTTGATTCCCGGTTGTCATTAGCCCGGCTCAAGTGTCCTCATCCGCCGAGAAAATTAATGGTTCGTGTATCAGTGTCACCCGCGTGACACGCGTCACGCGTAGAAACTTATAGTTACCGGGCGCAAGCTCTGTGTCTAAGACTCGTATCTTTCCACGAACAACAGCTCTCAATAAATTGGCTCAGGATTGAAAAGGAGGATTTCGCGACTTTTATTTATGTGGCTGCCTACGGGAAAAGCTTCTTGAGTCCTCGATAATAGAGCTCAAGACGGGGTAAGAATTTGACTACATTTCGCAATTAGGAGCAACATTTTTGGCTTAACTGTTAAAACACTGATGTGCCCAATAGGAAAACTAATAGTAATACTATTGTTTCTAAACTGAGTCTGATACTGTGATTCCTAATTGCAAAATATAGTCGAATTAGACATCTGAATGGCTTTAAATCCTCATAAAAATGCTACGCAGAAGATGAAGGATCGAGGACCTCCAAAATTCAGTCAATTTTACGCCCTGCATGTAATTATTAATCTTATATATTCTCATTTATTTGCATTTTTATTTTGTATAGTTTAGAAGCTGAAGTTATTCATATTATTTATTAAATTGTTAAATAAAAGATAAAGAAGTTAAAACTGTTATAATACTGTATAATCGTCAAATGACGAAATCGCTCGCACCTTACTCTTGAGAACACTGAAGAAAGTTTCCATTAAAATCTCAAAATCCAATTTTTCTACTGGATTTGACCAAAAAGCTCTACTAAAAATTTTCCATCCGTAAACTTACTTTCATCAACCGACTCACTTCATATTGGTTAAGTTTGATTTCCAGATGAAACTGAGTAATAAAATTGCTGTCATGTTTGGCGCCGACATCAACTTTGTTGAAGTTTAACCTGCCGTCTGCAAAAATCCGAGAGGAAAGAGTTGTACTCGAACGACAATGATCAAATTTTACGATTCGCAAGAGGAAGAATAAATAAGTAATGCATTTTTTCCTTTCTTTGTTTCAGGTAAGAAAAAAAGCAAATAAACAATCGCAATCCGTTTCCTCAATGATTCGACATTAATGCATTTGAATATGGTTATATTTGTGAGTATGTCGTTTCTCGTATTTTTTTTTTGAGGAAGTCTCACATGCACCAATCCGATGTCCTTCGAATGTTTCAAACAAACGATTAATTCATTTTTTACTTTTTTTTTCTTTCAGCACGTTTTTGGGTTTCATCTTTTTTAATTTGGTTCATTTTATTCGGTATAAGGAACTTTCCTCATTTTTCTGGTGATCCCCATGTTCTTTTTCCTTTCTTTTTTTTTCTCAGATCCTTTCATCTTTTTCCCCGTACTACCTATGAAAAAGGAAGTGTACAAGACAAACATTTACAATCTTGAGATTAAATAATGTTAATTTGCTCTAAATAATATTAAAATCCTCTTTCAATAGAATATCTTGTATGAAAAAACGACTGATTTACTGTGAGGATATTATTGAAATTGAAAATCTTCGAACAAAGATATCCGTTTCTTATTCTTCCAATGGTGAAGGAAGGTCAAAGCTTAAAGTGTTTTCGAGGTTGGCAAATCGGTAGTAAAAATCATTTAGTGCCTGCATTTCGGGGTTGCCAAATAGAATTAACCATGTAAATGCAATACATTTGGACGCCTCGATGCTTTATTCCGGCGTGTGCATATCTGATATTCATAAGTGTTTCATTGGGAGTTTTGAGGGCTGATTAGAATTTGAAAGCAATATAAATTTCTCTTTTTGCAGTTTTTTTTTCTTTTTCTTTTTTTCATGGGCTCATTTTCACTTGTTTCATCGTTTCAAGAAAATAATCACTCCAGAAAAGAGTGTTACTTCTTATTCTGTCAAACTGTTGATTCAAGGGTAGGGATGAATATGGATATGACAACTTCAAAAGAGTAAATGTGCTCTACATTTCCGTCCTGACTTCAAGAGGTTTTCTAGAGCTCGAGAGGCATCGGCCATTTTTTGGCTAAAAATTAAAATCTGCCGAGATATGTGACTTAATCGATTCGATATATCGCTCGCTAGTTCGACAACCCTAAAAACCGTTCCGAGTCACATTAAGTCCCGCCGAAGCTGCAGCATGAGATGCATCGGGGTTGAATTGTTTTCTGCCGGCAAACCAGCCCCTGTTAGAATCGGAAAAAAGTGTTACCAAGGCAAGACTTTTGATTGGAGACACATTAGTCAGCGCCCACAATGGCAACGAAGGGCGTTGCTGTTGTTGATACGCGACGAGTTAATAAAATTCAATTCAACATTCAGGCATCGACCAGTCGCTTTGGTTCTGGAACCGACTGTGATTCGGACGGTGAGTCGACTGACTTCCTGATTTCAGACAAATGCCACGCAAGTTTCGCCGCTGCTAGCCTCGAACTTGCACTCAAAAACAACACAGTTCGATTTCAACGTCGCCCAACTTACAATAATTAAACGCGCGACGAATTACTAAAAGTCACTTCGCAGGCAAATGAATCTGAACGTCTTGCAGCGAAAACTGCCCGACTCTGAAAAAATGGAAGTTCTCTCTGATTGACGACCAATAGCTTTCAGGATTTATGTAGGTTTATTTTTTGCCCCCAAACAATGTTTGCTTTTCATTTTACATTGAAAATGTAGGCGCGAATTTAGTTTGTTTGGAAAAACTTCCTACTCCGAGATTTAAAAGCGCTCCGATTGTGCCATGAAAGGACCTAAAAGATGCTGATCAATGATAATGGGGCTCTTTTCTGGTCATTGAATAACATGCGCTAAGATAATTTTCCATCCACTGAAAATGTTCAGCAGAATTTAGTTTTTTGCGTTTTCTGGATTATTTTCAGTGTCATTTTTTAAATAAAACAAGATATACATTTGTAAAGGTGGAGCATTACTTTAAAGGCATCGCGCCCTAAGAGAAAATTATATCCCAACTTATTAGTAAGAGAACTCACAGAAATACCTATGCCTAATAATCGGCCCCATTATCAACTTCCACTTACTAGGAAAATTCATTTGTTACACCTACCTGAGATATAACACAAGACTGATAACTAGTTCGGAGCTTTTTACTTTTTTTTTTATGAATTGGACATCGATAGACAGGAAGAGTCTATCTACATAAAGTTATGAGATAATCGCTCGCGCAAAAATAGGATGATGCTAAAAGTGGTTTTTCCAAATCATCATCCCAGACACATTCCATCTACTTAGTGACGCTGAAGACAGAATCTTAATCCAATATATATAAATAGCTCAAACGGAAGGTCATAATCCGGTTCAACAAGAAAATCGGCAACACTGTTCAATGTTTCATCGTTCGATCATCTGAATTTTCATATCCTCTTGGATGTCGTCTACCTTTGGTTATCGTTCAAGTTTTCAAAAATGCGAGCGCGTATAATGAAATCGCTGCCTTGAGAATTATTGGAATTAATAATCATGAATTATGGGAAACTCTGGTCGGTTTTCTTTCTTCTCATTTTCGTGTTATGGCTTCACCTTTACAAATCCAATCAATGGCAAAAACGAAACCGTGAATTATACGAATTTCTGCTAAAAGGAACTATGTGAAAATAAATAATAACATCACTACTTACATTGGATTTACGCGCGTTAAAGGTCCTATATAAATCATTTTCACATGGTTTCTTTTGGCATGAATACGTTCTTTCGTCTGCCTTCGTCTTCAACAATTTAACCTGTATTGCCTACTCACCTCCCGTATAAAAACCTGAGGACCAAAAATGTGTTGGAACGCGTCATCAATTGGAAGTGAAGAATTAGTCCAGTCAAAAGGGGGTAAAGTAGAGACAATCTCTATGGAAACTTTCTGATACACAATTCCTACATATTTCTGGTCGCTGAATCCGAATGTTACATTTGCGAAAAGATCTGAAGCGAGCCAAAGCCACCATCTTGAAAAATTGGCGTAAATTTGCGGTTTTTGGTCGAAAAACCGAAATAACTTGTTTACTACGGAATTTAAGGCAAAAGTAGAGGATATGGATTTCTTATTCCGCTTATTCTTGTTTTAGTTAAGCACCATTGTGATAATTATCTCACCGGCAGAAAACAAAGCAAGTTACTTAGATGATGCCAAGAAGAAAATCCTCTTGAATTGGAAGGAAAAGATGCTCATATCAGCCCTAGCTGTCAGCAGAACCCTGCTTGATTCAAGCGAATACGTTCTTGATTCAATGGAAAGAACTCTTCACGTGGCTAATTCAAATGACTTCTTTTTCCAGTGTAAGTTGAAATAAGGCTCTTTGCACCGAACGGGTCCGGTCTAGCTAGCATCGTCGTGAACGTTTAGATTTCGGGGCTCCGAGATGAGACCGCTGATAAAGCATTCAATTACCGAAATGTTATTTCTTCTTCTTATTCCTGCGCAGCAAGCGTACAGGCACTTTTAATTGAACGTAAATTACAGTTTTATACTATATCGGAAGCCTGGAAACATTTGATTGACGAGAACGAACCACGACTCGAGCTGGTGGAACACATTGTTGCCGGATCGACAAAGCTCTCTGTACACTGAAAAAAAAATCTCTGTGTATTTACTGAGAAAATGGTAAAATTACCAAAAATTGAGGGTTCTATTTGATCCCAGTTTTTTCTTGGTAAAATTACCATTTATGGAATTAGTAATTTTACCGAGAAATCTCGGTAAAATTATTGAACTTTCTCGGTGATTTTACTGGACCTTGGTAAAAACGCCAATATTTTTTATCGACTGTGGTAGAATTACCGATATAAAATGGTAAAGTTACTGGGAATTGATTACCAATGAAAGTGGTATTCTTACCTGGAAAAAACAGTAAAAATACCGGTTTTTAGGTAAGCTTACCAGTCTGTCTTGGTAAAATTACCAATGATTGGTAAAGAAAGTGAGATAGTAAAGGTACCAACGGACCTTGGTAAAAACGCCGAGAATTTTTTTTCAGTGCAAGGAAGGATATTATTTTAACGGGTCTGAGCAGAATGGAAGTAGTTTATGGCATTAAAGGAGATTTGCTCGAGGTAAGAACAGGCATAAATTCAAGTAGAGTCTTAAAGGGAATTCTGCCGGACGTTGGTCATTGGCTGACCGGCTGACCCTCCATTTTCCCTAAAACGCTCGGCGTTTCTTACGTAACGCTATTAGAATAGCGGTGAAAACCCCACAGTTGGATTGGCGTAGGTTAGTGGCGGATTATGTACGAAGTCAAATCTAAAATGCACAGGTCTACAATCCTTTTTTCTTTAAATAGGTGCACCGTGTATCAAGGTTAAGTGAATTCATCTTGTATTTAAATTTTTATCCACTGAAAAAAAAAATGGTGGTATAAGAACTTGGGTGATGAGAAGACTATTTCATTTTCAGTGAAACACAACGACATTTTGAGTTCTACTCAATCAGCTATTTTGTTGGATAGCCAACTCCCAAATATTTGGTTCGGCAGGCCGAGTAGTTTGGTGGGGCCAACAGATTAATGGTATCCACGGGTTACCAACTAGGTTCCATAGCACCCGCATAATTTGATTGTACCAATTTTCTTAAAGTTAGCCAGCAATTCTACTGTTCTGAAGATGATAGAAAACCACTTGAGTGTTTTTGATGATTATTGAATAGTAGAATTTTTATACTGCCGCAATTTGTGACAAGGCATTCTTCACGGTTTATTCTGAATGCTTGAAATTCAACTGTTTTCAAAATTTTGCTCTTTATTTTCATCCTTTGTGCGTGACTTTGTTGGATTTTTGTTTAATTTTGGTGATAGAATGAAAAGCCATTCTTCCGTTCATGACTTCATCTCTTGGTATTCGACGAATTGTACTACGATTTTACTCACCATCTAGCAACATCTGAGAAGAGACCTTATCAACGGCATTTGAGCCTTTAAACTCGACATGGCCTCGGGCTAGCTGACCGTCTTATCTCCTCAAAAATGGTGTCCGTGCGTCAATAGTCTCCCGACCATCATTTCTAATTCTCAAGCCCACTTTGATCTAATTTCATCAGCTTCATGTCACTATGAAGCTCTCTTTTTTTCATCTTTGAAATCTCCCAAGACAATCTTATACTTCTAAAATGTTCCAGAGAG